AGAAAACAGAAAATATTATTATCCTACGGAGCTCTCCATTTTGAACAATGCTGGAGGTTGTCGTCTTTCTTTTTCTTTCTTTCCTTTTCATTCTTTCTTCCTTTCTTTCTTTCTTTCTTTACTTTCCTCACAATCTACTTTCTTTCTTTTTCTACTTTCTGATTTTCTTTCTTTCTGTTTTAGGTAATTTCTGGTTTAACGTATCATTTAAGTTCATTTTTCCTCTTTTTTGCTATTTACGTTTACTTAATCATTCGATTTTCATTGGTTTGACCAAGATTATTCCCTTTTTCTTTCATTCTTTCTTCTAACATATCTAATTTTCATTCGTTCTTTTTCCCCATTTTTATTGACTTTCATTCATTCTATGTTTTCTTTTGATTTTCTTTGAATATATATCTTTAAAATCTTTTATCTTTTTTCATTCATTCATTTTCTTTCAGCATATACATATTCTATTCTTTCTTTCTCTTTTCTGTATTCTTATTTCTTTCCTCCATTTTTTTTGTTTCTTTCTTTCCGTGTTTCTTTCTTTCTTCTAACGTATCCATATCTCATTCTTCCTTTCTTTTTTGCTAAATCTTTTTATTAATTTTTATTAATTCATTCGTTCTTTCTTTCTTCTAACATATGCAGTTTTAATTCTTTCTTTCTTTTCTTACATTCTTATTTCATTCATTCATTCTTTTTTCTTTTTCCTTCTTCCATCTAACCTGTCCATTGTTCATTCTTACTTTCAATTTTTCAACATTCATTTTTCGTCTTCTTTCATTTTGTCTTTTCTATTTTTCATTCATATATTCATTCATTAATGTTTCTTTCTTTTATACTTTCATTCTTTTCAGTCATTCTTTCATCATATTTGTTATTTTCTTTAGTTTTACTTATTTATTTATTCGTTTTTCTTTATTCTTCGTTTTCTTTGATTTTTTTTTCATGCATATTCTTCCTTCTTTTTATCATGGTATACTGCCATGATGCCATTTTCTCTTTCTTTCTTCTCTCTCTTTGTTTCTTTTTGCTCTTTTTCAAAGCTTTTTTTTTCCTTCATTTTAATTCAATTTATTTTTCCTTCATCTAGGCAAATAGTTTTCATCTTAAAATGTATTACATTTTATTTTGTGAACAGTATCTTTGTTTTGCAATGAACGTTAACTCAAATTACTAATACTTCAGAAAATAAAGTTTACCTTGAAATGAATGGCATTTTAATTAAACCATTCAAAATGGCCCCGCACCATCGAGATACTGAGTAGCAAACATCAAAGAATATATCTTTGGAAACGATAATTCTCTACGATTTCACGCCGTATTGAACCCTGAGAATCACCCCACCATATATATATATATATATATATATATATATATATATATATATATATATATATTAAGTGGACAGTGAGGTTAACACCTAGCGGTGACAGTCTGTTTCATGTTTAAACGCAAACTTCAGCCCATATACGTTGTGTTTTGGCTCGGATATGTATATATGATGGTCAGTGATGCACTATGGGTAAAAAGTTATTGCATTATCCTAACGGTCATATTTCAAATTATTCTAGTGACAATTGAATAGAAACAATTGTGGATACAAATACAGTTACTAGTAGGTATTATGTAGTGTTTCTTAACATTTGTTACTCATTAATTATTAATCCTTACTGTATTTTTTTGCTTATTATTTACTTGAGTTTTATATATTATGCACACACAGATATAGATATATATATATATATATATATATATATATATATATATATATATATATGTTATTGATATAGACATAAATATTTAAGTAAATTATCTCTTTATAATAAACAGTATTAACAACATTTACTGAAAGTCTGAGAAATCTCTTAGAAAATATGCGTCCTCCGACAGGAAACGAACCTGTTTCCTACACGGAGCCGTCCTATAGCCTAACGTGCTATACCAATTTAGTTACGAAGGAAGCGTCTTGTTAGCAAAGTCAAATTGCTACTTTTAAAGTATAAAGTTCCCATGATTTTCTATGAGATTTCTCGGACATTCAGGCTGATAAATGTTGTTAATAGTCTTTATGATAAACAGAGAATTTACTTAAATATTTGTGACTATATAAATAACGTATAACAATAAATATATTAAAATAATTATCGGACTTAATCCATTTCATAATATATATATATATATATATATATATATATATATATATAAATATATATATTATGACAAAGTCCGACAATTATTTTAAGAAAATTTTATGTTTATACATTCTTTTTGTAGATACAAATATTTAAGGAAATGCTCCATTAATAATAAACAGTATTAACAACATTTACCGGCTTGAATGTCCGAGAAATGTTCATAGAAAATATGCGTCCTCCGACAGAAATCGAACCTGTATCCTATACGAAACCGTCACATAGCCCGACGTGCTTTTATTATAAACAGAGCATTTGCATTAATGTTTATTATAAACACAGCATTTACTTAAGTATTTGTATATTTAAAAAAAGAATGTAATAATCATAAAAATGTCTTAAAATAATTGTCGGACTTTGTCTATTTCATAATGTGTGACGTCATTTGTTTACATTTGGATACTCATCGAGCAGATATGAATGTACGTGAGTGAATCATGGAAAATTGTAGATTAAAAACAGTAAAATCGATGTTTCTAACCGAAGCGATCCTCTGTGGCTTAATAGGTAAATGCACGTCAGGCTATATGACGGTTCTGTATAGGATACAGGTTCGATTCCTGTCGGAGGACGCATGTTTTCTATGACAATTTCTTAATACTGTTTATTATAAACAGAGCATTTACTTAAATATTTGTATCTATAAAAAAAGAATGTATAAAAATGTCTTTTATATATATATAATTGATTGTTTCCCCGTGACAAAATATTAAAGAAAAATCTAACAATAAATAAAAGTTTGACCATAAACTACTTGATATCTTTTGTAACTTAGTTGTTAATGATTAATGGAGTAAGATAATTTGCATATTTAAATTTGAAAAATAAAACAACGTTTTAAAAGTAACTGTGTTTATTATAATTTATTTTTCTAGATTGTTTTTTTTTCATAATGATTACAATCAAGATTTTACAATAAAATTGACTAGTTATTTAGTAAAGACATTTTCTGCTCTGAATGTTCTAACCACCATTTTGATCATAAGTTAGGAGCAAAACTAGTAATCTTTACCAAGAACAGTAAATAAGGTTACCTGCTTTTTTATTATTATTGTAAAACTACTACATAAATTATACAATCACATTATGTTGTATATAAAATAAACTACTATGAAAATCTTTCGACCAATCGAACAGTTTTAATTAAGACAGTTTTCCTAAAATCATTCAAATCTCTCAAAGAAACGATACCATAGCGCGGCGACGTAAACGAGAAAGACTTGACACGTCAAACGCTGGTTATTATTTCTATTTTAAATAATATACTAAAGTTGCTTAGAGATTTTTAACGTTAGTTTCTATGTGGCCGTATTACTTAGGCATCAAATCCGCTGATGGATAAAAAGTAGTAAAGTTCATGAAGATGCCGGACGTTCTCTTAAAACATCTGGCAGACATATTATACGAACAGGCAGTGTTCAACCGTCAGCGTGTTCATAAGGCTGGATTTCTTTTTAGGGAGATAACAACGAGATAAAGTTAACGTTTAGTATTCTCCATAATTAATATTACTTCTCTTTTTACTGGATTATTTTTCAAGCTCTCTCAATTGCAATATCCTTATTGTTAATTTTACTCAAAGTTGTCTTCAGTTACCATAGCAGGACCACACAACTATGAAATTCAAACACTCTATTGTTCAGGGATCATAGTCACCTTCAGTGGCAGGATACTTTTTTTTTGTACAGCAAATGAAGTCGCATACAGAGTGATAAAGGTTAATACAAGAGACAATATTACCTTTGTATAATTTCAGTCACCCTCAAAACTGTGAACAGATATATGAATCGATGTTTGAAGTTTCATCGTCACATTGATACAAACCTCATTTTGATGCGGATAGAAGACATTTTGAATATTTTTAACACAGCATTATTTAAACATGGCAGTATTTTCTCCTTACCGAGCGTCGTTTTGATAGTTATTAATTATTCCTAAAGTGTTTAACTGGCAGGAAATTAGCTGAACTGCTATTAACAATATGTGTTTATCTTTGCTGGCAGTCATGTTGAATGTGTCATTCATTCATAAATTAAGATTAGCACTTTTTGTCACTCATTCTTATTTGTCACTCATTCATCTATTTAAGTGAATTTCATTCATCATCTTTGCGATCATCTGTAAACAAAGAGTTTTTAAAATTACGTTTATCCTTTCGTCATTTTTTAATTGATTAATAACTTTTACCTTTCTTTCTTGCTTTCTTTTTTCTTTCTTTGTACGCTTTCTTCTTTAAAATTTTCCTAACTTCCTTCTTTACACGTTTTACTTTTCTTTCGTTCTTTCTTAACCCGTTTTCTTTCTTTCTTTCTTTCTTTCTTTCTTTCTTTCTTTCTTTCTTTCTTTCTTTCTTTCTTTCTTGTTTTCTTTCTTTCTTTCTTTCTTTCCCAGTTTTACTTTTCTTTCCTTCTTTCTCTCTTAACACATTTTCTTTCTTTCTTTCTTTCTTTTCTTTCTTTCTTTCTTTCTTTCTTTCTTTCTTTCTTGGTTCTCTCTTTCTTTATTTCTTTCTTTCTTTCTTTGTACGTTTTACTTTTCTTTCCTTCTTTCTTGAACCGTTTTCTTTCTTTGTTTTATACTTTCCTAATAATGACTTTTATTCCACAGATACTCCATTTTTTCTTTAAGAAAAACACTGTTGACAAAGTAATTAATGATTTTATATCTAATTTATGTAAAAACACACGCACCTCCACACCACTACTGGCAAAAATACACGATTCATTTTCCTTAACATACACACACGCACACACACAGAGACACACACACGTGTGAGTACATCCACATTTAAACATACTATAAACATTTGGCGTTTTATCAGCATAATGATTCATTATTTTTGTCAGGTCCACTGAATCCATGATAATACGCTGTTGTTTCGCCACTTTTGAGGCTTTGGTTCCGGTTTAGTCGTCCAAAAGATTCGTAGTTACAACAAAGTAGTTTTATGAATGTCACTTTGAATGTTCTATTAAACACAGTATATATAATTGGATTTAAAGTACTTGAGATATATCCCAACCATACAAAGGCAACGAACAACAAGCGGTCGACCCGGCACCACTTACACAACACCGTAAGGATATTAGTTGTAAAGAACGGTGCCCAGCTGACAACGAAAATTGTGAAAACGACTCCGAGGACTTTGGTAGCTTTCTGTTCGGTTTGTACAGCGTTCTCCTTGAACGTATCTTTCCTCAGAAGCATTATATTAGCCGCTTTAGTTGCGATGTTGTGCTTTGCAATCAAGAAGCGTAATCGGGAAGGCCTGGGGCTGGCAGGCGAAGAGTTCGCGCTGAAACTACCACCGGCGCTGCCACCACTGCCGTCATTAAGTGGCTGAATCTCTGACTCGACGTCAATCTTGATTTGTTTAGTGTTGTTCTTGCGAGCCAGAAGCTTCCGGTTTTCGTTACTGTCCGTTGCCCACTTCCGGCTGGCTGGCGCTGAATTGGCATGTCCTGCTGTTTGCAGCTTTGGCGACTGAAAACGCGCATTGAGAATTTTTCGTTTGTTGTTGACTTTTCGACTGCCCTGAACACGTCTGATCATAGGGCAGCCTTCGATTTTACTCTTTTGGTTGCAGAGTCGTGCCTGTTCGTTAAGTAATTGCATTGTCAACACATTTGTGACAACCATGATAATTAAAGGGATGAAAAAGGCTATGATAGAACCGTAAATGATGAAAAAATCATTATTAAGAACACACATCTCTTCGATAAATAGATTGGTCTCATCAAGAATGCCCAGTACGGTTATCGGACTGCTGACAACGAGGGAAAGCGACCAGACAATTAATAATTTGACTGCTACTGTCATTTTGGATTTGTTCCGTGTTTTTAAAGGGAAGCGTATGCCAATGTAACGGTCCACTGATATCGTACAGAGGTGCATGATTGACGCGGTGCACATCATGACGTCAGATGTAACGTAAAAATTGCACAGCGCCGCTCCAAGACTCCAGTAACCTGAAAATAAGAAAAATAAATGAAATTCAGAATAATACATATACATATATAAATATACATATATATATATATGCTTAAAATGGGATATAGAATCCCGAAAAATATTTGAAGAAATTTGACAAATTGAAAAAACGTTTAATTGAAAATAGATTTGATTACGCGTTTCGCCTTTCTAGGATTCATTAAATTCGCCTAATAAAATCTAGTTTCAATGAAAGGGTTTTCCTTTTGCAGATTTCTTCAAAACTTCTCAAGGTACTATATCGTATTTTAAACACATATTGTCGACACGGAGAACACATGGACAGACCTAAACACATAAATCTTTTACTTTCAACCCATTCTGAAGGATTTGATGAGGATTCGTCTTGGATTCATTTCAGAAAAGGCTATATGAATCCCTTGCTTTCGAGCCATTCTGAAAATAAGATGAGGATTTATTTTTAATTCGATACAGAAAAGTTGGAAAAATATATTAATAAATTTCGACATGAACTAAGAACACTACTTACGTTATTCGGACTATTGTTCTCATCTTCGTCATCATATTTATTACAACGTTTCGGCCGTTGTATGCTCCGGCCATCTTCAGGTAGTTAGACTGTTCTAGTTCCACTTGCCATGTTTAAATAAAGGAGTTTGTTAGATCCATTGACAGGAGCCAAAAGTGTAATTTTAATACCCGGTTAAGGCAGTGGAGAACTTGCAGAGGGGAATTAACAGGAGATAACTGATGACTGACATCTATTAAACATGGCTCGTGGAACTAGAACAGTTTACCTCAGTGAGCGAAAAAAAGGATTCAGTTCGACATTCCAACCACCTGAAGAAGACCGGAGCGTACAACGGCCGAAACGTTGTAATAAATATGGCGACAAAGATGAGGACAATGGTTCGAATAACGTAAATAGTGTGCATAATACCTCATCTTAGAAATATAGACAGATACTAAAGGGCCGAAACGTTGTAATAAATATGGCGACAAAGATGAGGACAATAGTCCGTATAATGTGAATAGTGTACATAATACCTCATCTCAGAAATATAAACAGATACTGAAAGGTCAAAAACGTTGTAATAAATATGGCGACAAAGATGAGGACAATAGTCCGAATAATGTAAATAGTGTACATAATATCTCATCTCAGAAATATAGACAGATAGTGAAAGGTCGAAATGTTGTAATAAATATGGCGACAAAGATGAGGACAATAGTCCGAATAATATAAATAGTATACATAATACCTCATCTCAGAAATATAGACAGATAATGAAAGGCCGAAACGTTGTAATAAATATAGCAACAAAGATGAGGACAATAGTCCGACTAATGTAAATAGTTTACATAATACCTCATCTCAGAAATATAGACAGATAATGTACTAAGGTTTATAAAAATAAAAACAGAACAAATATTTACGGTTTTTTAAAAGTGTTATATAGGAATAAAGTGTCATTGAATAAAGTGACACTTGTGTTTGAACGTAGATCTCCAATAAACAAACGCAGGCGATCTCGTTATTGAACTAAGTAGACCACGTGATCATAAATGAAACGCATTTAGAGGAAGGCCCGTAACATTTGGGTGTTCACTATCTCTAGTCTATCACCTATACTTCGTGTTCGCTATCTCTTGTCTATCCTCTATTCTATATTGACCTTCATTTCTTCTCCAATCCTATTCGGTTCGATATTCTCTACTCTATTCACCATACGGATTACTATTAGTGCGAGTACTATTCAAGGCGTCTGACACCAGCATTGTTCAACGGCGTTACTTTGGTTGTATCTGCGATAACAAAGGCTCTTCTTCAACGAGCATTACGAAAATGACAACGAGTATTCATAGTAGGTAGATTGTCTATTCTCATTCAAATTCCAGATTCTAATTTTTATTTTGGAAAGTTTTATCTAAATTTTGCCTTCTTGAAAAAGAATGTTGATTATCTTCTGTTCGAGATCATTCTTATTCTAAGTATGAATGCCTATGTCATCAGCATAGACGCCTCCCTCCCCGCAGTTACAATGACCTCTGGAGGGAAAACAAGAGTAGTTTTATTTTTATCAGTAGATTCCTTTGCGATGTGGTACGTTATATTCAAATATTCCAGGTCCATCTATCTATCACATAATATCTATCTATCTATCTATCTATCTATATATCTATCTATCTATGTTTGCTTGTATGTATGTATGTAGGGAAAGTGTAAAAAAGAATGTGACTCGTTTAATGGACGAAAATGTCGTGGGAAAGTTCACCAAAATATATAACAATTACTGCAAAAAAGTCCAAACGTTGCCACATCTACGCAAGATGACATAAGACTATAGCGGGATTAAAAGCCCCATCCACGCAACCCATATTTAAGGATAAATCAAGTGATGACATGACTCGAAATCATATATGTATGTATCAATCCATCGTGTGTTCAATTTCTCCTATACTAAATTTGTTATAAGTGTTCCATACACCAACTTATTTGAAGTGTTTAGAATTTATCAATTCAATATTCAGAATTTTTTAGGATGTATACATAGTAGGTAGATTGTCTATTTTCATTCAAATTCCAGATCCTAATTTCAGTTTTGGAAAGGTTTATCTGAAATTTGACTTTTTGAAAAAGAATGTTGATCATCTTCGAGATCATTCTTATTCCACGAATGAATTCCTATGTTATCACCTGTTATATAAGAACAAAATGTCATTACCGACACTGGAGTTTGAACACAGATCGCCAAACACAGTTGATCCCATTTTGAATAAGTAGATCACGTGGTTGTAAAGAAAATGTATATATGGGAATTAGCGTGGTGTCTAATTGATCCCTATTTCTACACTATCCTCTATTAATATATCGATCACTATTTCTACAATATCTTCTATTACTATACTGATCGCAATTCTCTATACTATTCAATATACTATTTCTCAATACTGATCACTATACAGATTACTATTCGGATCACTATTCGATGGTTACTTTTCCAGCGATTGTTATCGAACAAGCACTATTAGTGCGAGTGTATTTCGAAAGCGTCTGAAACCAGAATTGTTCAACGGGGTACTATAGTGGTAGCTGTGATTACAAAGTCTCTACTACAGCAAGCATTACGAAAATGACAACCAGTATTCGTTGGCATCATAAAAGTAGCAACAAGTGTTCGTTTGAGATTATAAAAAAAAAGTCACTCATTTTCTTTCATGATGAGAAACGCCATCTTAGCGAAAAGGTAACAATTCATTATTTAAGCATAAACACCAATATACACACACGTATTTATTTTTTTCGTTTTGGGATTTGAAAAAACCTAGAAAGGTGAAAGATGTAATAAAATCTAGTTTCAATGAAACATTTTTCCATCTTTTTAGATATATATATTAATTTATACATACATACATACATATATATATATATATATATATATATATATATATATATATATATATATATATATATATGCATCATATATCATCAGCGCTTCAAATTATTCGTGATTTGTTGTTTCTGATGATGTGGCTCTTGTAGCGACATCCGTTGAGGAGGCCCAACATCTAATAAATCGTTTCTCTGCTGCATGTAAAACCTTTGGTCTTACACTTAGCATAATGAAAACTGAAGTTGTGCACCAACTTTGTCCTAGTCTGAAGCAATTGCGCGGTGAGAAACAAAAACAACCAGTCTACAAATTTCCAGAGAGACCATTGAAAGTAGAAGACACACCCTTGAACTATGTAAAGTCTTTCACCTATCTTGGCAGAAAAGTCAATTACAGTGGAAATGAAATCATGCATCGGATTGCTATGTGTTAGGGGATCTTACCAATAATAATAATAATAATGGACTATTCCATACTTAATAAATACTGCGCCTCAGGAGTAGGCAAGCAGTCAGTAGTTCAAGTCTGAACTGACTGCACGGTTGTACTCTCTTCCTACGGGCGAGAGGAACCCGAAGGAGGCTACGCCGAAGGGCGGAGTCTCCTTCGGGGAGGTTAAACCGGCCCTGGACCCGTTCATACGGGTTCAAATGGGCTATTTTTTGGCCGAGCCTAATGGCTCGGGAATGCCCACGTTAAAAAGGCCTTGTGCCACATGACACCCTCGTGGGGGGGTGACTGAATATTGTCAGTAGTTCAAGTCTGAACTGACTGCACGGTTGTACTCTCTTCCTACGGGCGAGAGGAACCCGAAGGAGGCTACGCCGAAGGGCGGAGTCGCCTTCGGGGAGGTTAAACCGGCCCTGGACCCGTTCATACGGGTTCAAATGGGCTATTTTTTGGCCGGGCCTAATGGCTCGGGAATGCCCACGTTAAAAAGGCCTTGTGCCACATGACACCCTCGTGGGGGGTGACTGAATATTGTCAGTAGTTCAAGTTTTGAACCGACTGCACGGTTGTACTCTCTTCCTACGGGCGGAGGAACCCGAAGGAGGCTACGCCGAAGGGCGGAGTCTCCTTCGGGAGGTTCGCTTTCGGCCCAGAACCCGTTTATACGGGTTCAAATGGGCTATTTTTGGCCGAGCCTAATGGCTCGGGAATGCCCACGTTAAAAAGGCCTTGTGCCACATGACACCCTCGTGGGGGTGACTGAATATTGTCAGTAGTTCAAGTTTTGAACCGACTGCACGGTTGTACTCTCTTCCTACGGGCGGGAGGAACCCGAAGGAGGCTACGCCGAAGGGCGGAGTCTCCTTCGGGGAGGTTAAACCGGCCCTGAACCCGTTTATACGGGTTCAAATGGGCTATTTTTTGGCCGAGCCTAATGGCTCGGGAATGCCCACGTTAAAAAGGCCTTGTGCCACATGACACCCCCGTGGGGGGGTGACTGAATATTGTCAGTAGTTCAAGTTT